CATGCGAGGCATTGCCCCTGGCTTTAAACAGTATCATTATCGTTAATTGAAAATGCATGCTTTATATGTTATTTTTAAATTTTGTTAAATTTTTAATGTGTTAAAATTTTTATTTTTTTAAAAAAACAACAGGTAACGAAAAAGGTTTCCTATCACAAAAAGTCAATTCTGCAGCATAACAAACTTTACTATCTTTATGACGAGCATACTTGTCATAGCCAAAAATATAATCACGCACTTAAAAGGTTAATACAGCTAATTACAGATCTAGCCTTACGCTTAGCTGATTTCCCGAGGAGATTTAAAACCACACCACCGTCAAAGACAAAGCCAAGATAGTGTAAACGACGAAAGCAACTCAAAAGCTCCTACATTGAAAGAAATAAAAGAAGGAAATCTACATTTTTTTTTTTTTTTTTTTTTGTTTAATTGAATTAACTGTAAATACGTTCTCGTTACCAATCAGATAACATAAGAAATTTGATTATAAACACTATATTATAATATCACAAAATACAAAGAAGTATTTAACACAAAAATTTCTTGAGCTCACGTCGTCAAATTTCTTTCATTGCTGCTACATGTAAACAAAATGTTAGGTAACTTCCTTTGAGAATAAAAGCAAATAATGTGCAGTGTGGTTGAGAGTGTGACTTTATTTTTTTTTTTTAAAAGCTATGGAAAATTTTGACGTTTGAAAACGATCTTCTAAGCCGGGCCGATACGTAATAAATGGTATTATTTTTCATAAATTTTCTGAATATATGTAACATAAACTGAACTATAATTTTTTTAAAAACAATGTTCAAGGTTCGCTATCAATCCACATATATCCACTTAAGCCTTATAAGCCCAGTCAAAAGTCAAATACATTCTTCTACTTAAAATTTTGGTTCAGTTTATGAAAACGTTACGAAAGATTTTTGTTGAGCGATAAGTTGACTTTACATCCTAACTCAATTGTTGACAAATAATGAACGTAGTCTGTTAAATTTCAGATTCAAACTGTTTATCAGGAGAATTAAAGCTTTCGCAACGCCAAACAAACAACTTCCAGCGCACAATTTCCCTAGCGGTATTTATTCTATTCACGGCACATATCTGTGTACAGTTCTGCGGATGGATTTATTTTTTCGCATATAAACTTACACTTTCGCAATCTGAAAAACTTTATAAAACTAAATAATTATTTTCTTAATATGTGTTAGCACAAATTCAGTACGGTCTCATATGACTTATGGGTCTGCAGGCAGGCGAACAAAGCATTAAAAGCATTCATCTGTTCGAATTATGGACGATCTAAATCATCGACTTGATTGGCTTTAGCAAATATGTGGCGGTTGAGAGATTTCAAAACCCATTTATAATATTAAAAGATTTTTCAAAAGAACAAGTGCCCTTCTTTATCATATACAAAAGAGCACCTCTTTACGTTTTCTTTTTATGGAATAAGGATGTAAAAAATAACTGAAACACCAATATGTAATTACTATCTTTCATACGTATTGTTTTTGGCGAAGGTAACTTTCGCATATTAAAATCGTTTTCATTTTTATAATAAAAATTTTTACTTAATTGAAAGGATTTTCCGCATTGACCGGCACTTTTTATATGCCTATTTGTTGGATCTTCAAGGATAGAATTTGTAGACAAGCAGATAAGTGCAATATTATATAGTAGGCATTTAATCTATTATATTTAAGTTTCATCCTAATTTCTTTCATTTGTTTAGTAATTTTAGTTAACACTTACCGTTTGCAGTATCCTGTACCATTGTGGCAGCACGTGATAAAACATCCAGGGCAGTTTCCATTTCCATAGAATTTTGCACTTATGTATTTAATTTTAATCCTTTATGAATATGAATAACACTCTCTTTTTGTTTCACTTTTTTAATAAGTTCAATTTACCGAAAAGGGTTAAAATAACGTATGTAAACAATAAAGCAAAAGCAAAAACACTGACGATGACGTCTTCTCGTCTACACTTGATAATTTTATGTTCAATTTATTACCGTAACGTAAAATAAAAAATGAAATGTTTAATGGACTGATCCACAGGATATTCTAATATTCTATTTACATATAGAAAATTTTGTTACTCGCACATACATTCGTTTTTACAATACACAAAGAGACCGTTGATCTTTATAAAAGCAAAACATAGGTAAAATTTGAAGTTTACTTAGCTAAAGTATTATGTCAATTAATAGAATGTATTTGTAGGGGTAAATGCAACTTGACAAATAAAACTTTAAAACGTAAGTGAAAAGAAAAAGTGGAAGAAACCCAAAATGGCAGCTAACCGGCAAACGTTCGCGTAAATACTTGCATAAAGCAGAGCAACTATACCAGTTGTTGGTGGTAAATTGTTGGCAGCTAAGATACACTGAACGTACATAATAAACTATCAGCAACCACAGCAATAACAATGGTAATCAATAAAAAATACAAAAACGAGGGTGGAGGTAGATTAAGACTACATTAAGGAATATCAACAATCTTTAGGAAAAATTTATGGATGTTAACGTTCAAGTCATATATAATGCTCTTGGTTTTCTTATGGATTTTGAAAGATACTAATCAGGAGATGGCGGTAAATGCCGTATGGTTTAATAATTCCGACAAGCAGTTGGCAGCTGATTTGAGTGTAGATAGAAATACAGTCGGTGGGGTGCTATGTTTGTATATAATATGAACGAGTTTTAAATTAAACTTGTGGATATTCACCTAAGTAAGCCGAAGCTTTATAAAAATTTGTAAACATTTTAGAAAATTAAGCCTAGTATAATTAAAAAATTTTCTACACTTTTTTGTTTATATATGTATATACAAGCAAATAAGTTTTATTAGACTATTTCAATCGTACACAATCTGCGTTTGTTTCAAAATTACTTTATGCAACACCCTGTCATTGAAGGCTTTTATTTTATTTTTTTTTTTTTTTGCTAAGTAAATTATTAGTACATTCGTGCATTTTACCTTTTATAATTTTTTTAAATTTTCCTTTTTTTTTTTTATAACACAAAACCGTACACGTTTGCAACACAGCCTATAATTTCTTTAACACAAAAAGAATATATCTAAAAACGCAAAGACGTATAGGGATTATCGTATAGCTTCTTTTTTTTTATACACTTTCCTCTCAAGTTTCTATCATATGCAATTGTCCTATAGTGTCATTTTTGCCTATAACTTAATTTATAACATCTAATTGCACCAATTTCTTACGTTAATAACACTTTTTTCCTCCACTTATGAATTTCATGAGTGGAATGCCAAGAATTTTAATGGAATTTAGTAAATTTTTATGCATAACGATGCTAACTAACAGGAAACTACAACGACTGAATAGATGAAACCTACTTGGTAGAAAACTCACGTAGTAGAGCACATATAAGCAGTGTTCACAAAATAACAGTTTCGTGGTATGTATTTTGGATGCAATTTCACACTCAGATGTAGTAGATGATTAGAACTTTATCTTAACACTAAAAAAAAAAAAAAAAAAATTTGTAATAAAGTAATTGTAACGTTGTTGTATACAAATATTCTTTCTTTCTTCTGACATAACAAAATAATGATCGTGATACTAAAACCGTCCAATATGCATTTTTCATTTATGCATGAGAATTTTACTTGAATCATTAACTCATTGTTATCTTGCTTAGTTGAATGATTATTTTTCTTTCTATACTTTAATTAGTAAATTAAGGGACGACTTGCATGGCATTAAAGTTTAACAACCACTTCATGTTAAATTTGCTACATGTTTATAGCTTATAGAAACATACAAATGAGCAACACATATGTTCTTCTTGGTCAACGTAAATAAAAAAGTCAATGCAACCGTGTTTGTCTGCTATTGTGTCAGATGAAAACAAGCCTAGCATTACTACGACCTTATGTAGAACAATAAAATCAATCTCATACCTTCATTTGAAATTTTCTTCATCATCTTATGGATTATATGAATATTTAAGCGCAACCTAATATCCTATGATTTTATATTTATTTTTCATTTATGAATAACAAATAAAATTTGCATTTTAATAATGGTAATTGATATCATCTTTTTAGCGTAAGCTGGAGTTGAGTTTCAAAACCTTTACTCGAAAATCGTATGTAATTGTTTCCTTGATTTCTTCGGCTCGGAAGGTTGAAACAACGTGAAAGAAAATGAAAGGTAGGTGGCAACGTGTATTACACAAAACTTTGTTAAAATTTGTTGTCTGATTAGTCTTAATTGTTGTAAATAATGATTTTACTTTCGAAATACATTAATCAAAATATGTTCTGAATATGAATAAAGTGTTGCTTAAGCAAAATAAATCGAAAGACACGTTAAAAATTTAAAAATGAGTAAGTATATGAGAGAATGCTATTATTAGCATAACTACCGTTGGCAATTAAGAAATTTATTTTCCTAACTTTTCTTCTAAGAGTTTTTCCATGTAAGAGTTTTTATTATTAAATTGTAAATATTTATGTATTATGCCGTTATTTTTTAAATAAATATTTATTATTGCACACTATACTTTTTGGTTGCACACTGTACTTTTTTGGTTGCACACTATACTTTTTGGTTGCACACTATACTTTTTTGGTTGCACACTATACTTTTTTCATTAATTTATCGTTGTTGTTTTGGTTATCGATAATAACTTTTTATTCTTATTCAACAAAAAAATTTTTCTAAACAAAAAGAAAGCTGTAATTAATATTAATTAGAAAAGAAAATGGAATTATTGTCTTTACCTTTCACGCAATCTAAACAAATTCATCATAAATGTAGGACATGCATTAAAGCAAAAATCAGTAGATATTCTTTGTATCAGCGTATATCTCTGGAGACAGGACTTTCAAAGACATATGGAGAGCTTTTAAGTAATTTTTTACCGTTAAGATGTTTAATATTGTTTTATTAGACACGGCTATTACTGTTATCGATAAATGTTATCGTTAATATATGTCAATTGATATTAACTGAAAGTTTCTTCCCCAATGAACTAAAGTATTTTTTGCTTGTAGAAGTATTTATAAAAGTTTTACTAAGTATTGTGTTAATAAAATTAAACGATAGAAGTAATAGGATGCTGAATTAATATTTTAAAGCTTAGACTTGTGTAAACTGCATGAAATATTTCGTAACAAGCTTCAATAATCATAAGTGCGATTTTTAAAGTTCATTTACTCTTTCTTTGGCATGCAGTAGCGCAATTGTTGGTAAAATTATTAGGCGGTTCCATTTAGGAAAAATACCGACACATAATACAATACAAAAGAAGTGAAAGCGTGAGTATTTGACTTTAAATTAATATAACAAGTGTCACTGCAATAGGCCGGTACTTCGTTATAGAGTATTAGCGGCTCAAAATTAAAGCTCAAGGTCGTTTGACTAGTTTCGTAGGGTGTGAGTACGTTCGGGAAAATAAAATATGTCTATCAGTTTTGAGAAACATCGTCGGCAAATAGAAGCTGCCTGGAAAGATGTTTTAGACGACAAAAGTACCACAAATTGGTAATTTAAAAATTAAAAAAAAAAAATTAAAACCATTGTAAACTTAAATTGATATTTTTTTGAGGTCTTTGTTTGGCTACGAGGGTCAAAGTAATGAACTGAAAGTAGTGGGCAGTGGTGAAGGTGGTGTGGAGGAATTATGTGAAGATTTAAACAGCGGCAAAATTATGTACGCATTTTTACGTTTGGAGGATCCCAAAACTAGTTTAAAAAAATTCCTACTTATCAATTGGCAGGTCAGTGAGAGTGACAACCATAATATTTTCAAAATGCTTTTGTTATATGCTTTTAAAATAATCGATAGTGACGTTTATTAACCCATTAATAATATGCTATAATCTATTGTTGCATTTTTTATATACAGGGTGAAGGCGCTCCCGTTTTACGTAAAGGTACTTGCGCCAATCATATTCATGATGTAGCCAAAATTCTCTCTGGAGCTCATTTGACTATAAATGCTCGAAACGAAGATGACATTGACTTAGAGCGCTTGTTGAAGAAATTAAGTACTACAAGCTCGGCTTACAGTTTTAAAGAGCCTCGCTTGATGGTGGATGAACAGAAAACCCCTGTAGGAACTAACTATACGCGAGTAATACCTACAAGGGAATTGAACCCAAGTGTTATGCAAGATTTTTGGAAGAAGGAAGAGGAAGAAGAAAAACATCGTTTGGCTGCAGAAAAAGAACAAAAACGTCTGCAGCAAGCCAAACTCGAGCAAGAGCAAAGGTCGCGCGAAGAGAAAGAACATTTGGAGAGAGAAAAGAAACTACAAACAAATAAATTGCAATCAGCCCATGTGCCCATTAAAACGTACGATACGATAAATAGAAGTAGAATTAAATTTTTTTAGAATTTCTTTGCAGTTCTCCACAGCCCCTAAGCCCTGAAAAAACTGTGGCCAGTAATTTTCAAAATGCACTAACCGAAGCTGAGCGTATGCGCCAGCAGCGTAGTCAAGAAGCCAGAGAATTGATAGGGTCCCGGGTATTGGCCGCTAAGGCTATGTTCACGAAACACACTAGTGAAGGGCAATTGCAGACTAAGTAAGAAAATTTGTTAATTTTTTAATATGAATATCTAAATTTTCAATTGGGTTTAGACTTAATACAGCACCCCCAGCTAAGCCAGTACGTAATTCTATAACTCAACGTATAAATGCCTTTAACCAGTCACAAGTAGAGCCACCTAATGCTGCTACTTCGTCCCTCAATTTAACCGGCAAAGCTTTTATGCCACCACAGCCAGTAATTCAAGAAGAGCAAAATTCTTTAGAAACTAATGAAAAGCAACAAGTTGAAGAATCTAATCATAATTCTCTGGAGCAGCCCGTGAAACCAGAAATAACTGCTATCGCTAACAATGAGGAAGACAGCCATAATATTGATGATTATCCTTTAGAACCAGATGCCGAACAATTCTCTACTATTAAGAGATCTCCACATAGTAAATCGAATTCCTTGCAGTCACCTGATGAAACTTCTTCATCTAACAATACCGATACTGCCTTGTATCAAGATGAGGAATCCGAAGAAGAAGAAGAAGAAGTAGTACGCACAAAGGTTTCGGTTACCGTACAACAATCCCAATCGCAATCACAAATACAAACTACTGCCAAAAATGGTTTTATAATGAGTTCGTTGGATAGAAGTGATAGTATGTATAACCAAATATTTACATTCGTTTACGTTATTAAAAGTGAAATATTTTGAAAAATTTAAGTACAAGACCTGGTTAATGAGGATGATTTTATATGCCAAGATTCTCTAGGGGATTTAGGTTTACGAGCCCGTGCTTTGTACGACTATCAAGCTGGTAAGTTTAACACTTAATGCTTAAGTTGAATCGAAAGATATAAATAAAGTTTTTCTTTGCTTAGCTGACGAATCTGAAATAACCTTTGACCCCGGTGACATTATCACTCATATCGACCAAATTGATGAGGGTTGGTGGCAAGGCTTGGGGCCCGATGGCACTTATGGTCTTTTTCCAGCAAACTATGTAGAAATCATAGACTAAGCCACAATGCACCTAAAAACATACGCATACAAAAGAATTGCTTAAGGAATTTTTGCAAAGTATATATAATCTTGCACCACGATCAGCATTCCTGTGGTTAAGCACATCTAAACCTCTATTTAGAACATACTCTTGTAGAACAAAAAATTGTTTTTCCGCAACTTTGGTGCCAATCATGTTCTATTTTTTTTTTCTTTTTTTTGCTTTCATTTTTAAAATTTAATACATTTTTTATACCATATCATCTAATTGAACTCAAACTTTTTCACAACGATTGCGTCCTTTTGTTTATTGAAACTTAATTTACAATTTTTTAACATTAAGTAAACATCACCCTAGCGACTTTCAATTTTGGTTTAACTTCTAAGCAAAGAACAAAACATTCATATAATAATTATTGTATAATAATTATTGATTGTCACGTATTAAGACTCACTAACAAAAGTATTAAAAAAAAAAAATGCACTTTACTCACAAAAATTTGATATATATTTATACTAATCTTCTTGAAAACTAATAATTTTTTACAATATCGTATATATATAGGGATAAGACCAATTAATGGCTACATTTACATATATATACACATACACGCCCCCCTTCCACTCAATTATACAATGATAATATTTAAAATAATAAAAATCATAATAATTGCGCAACTCATTTAATAAAAATCCATATGAAGCCATTAAGTAAGTGTTTCTAGACATTAAAGAAAACGGAATGCTGGAGAGATTGTTATGGCATGATTTGTACAATGGCGTCTAGGCATGTAGTTTAAAATTGAACGGAAGGCTCCAAATTCAAATCTCTTGCTTGTTTATGTACGCACGATTTTCATTAAATTAAGATTAAATAGTATCCCTATCTACTTTAAGGTTTCCGGCATTTGTGCACGACTTTATTTAAGTACTTATACGGTCTCTTATATAGGTATATCAGCGTACATTCTTAGATATGATTATGGACGGTACTAGATTATAAAACAGTTTTTATTAGAACAGATCGGGATTGAAGTTTTTTTCTCGATTTTTCTTATATGGATTTATTCTAAAAGTTTTTGTTTCAAAATATAAATTATATTACATAAACAAAAATTATTTTATCAGTTTAAGAAACGCATTTTACTCATTTGCCGTTATCTTCATAATCAAATTTTGTTGATGAAGCTCCGAAAAATTTCTCATATTCCTCTTGGCGTTTTTTTGCACGATTTTCACGTTCATATTGACGTTTATTAGCAAAACGCTGATGAATCCGTTTCATTTCTTGAACTTCCTTCATTTCCTCCTTGTCTTCATCCTAGAATATAAAAAATTTAGGAAACGTATCGAGGTCACAATGTCAGTTAGGAAAAACTTACACTCATATTTAAACGCAAGACCAAAGCTCGGCGACCGTCCGACATAGGTTGAGAGTAATGCATGAAATTTTTCAATCTTTCAGCTGGTGGCACGCTACGTTCTACTACTAATACTATGCGAGCCCATTGTCGTTGCCATTCATTACGGATTTCAGCAATTTTCTGGTATGTATTGCCCATCATAGCTATCAACATATTGACGAGAAGAACGCTTACAATAACCATGAACAGAAAGAAGAGAATTTTTGCTTCGTATTCATGTTGCGTTGAAACCATAGCACTGTAGTAATCGCCGAAATTTGTTAGAGACATCAAAAACATGGCCACTATTGATTCCATAGGTGAAGGCATAGGATTCGTTTCACTGTCATCGATTTCCTCGGGAGTGGCAGGGTTATCAAAGGTTAAAAATATAATGTAATAAGCTTGCGAAAAGCCCATAACGAAGACTAAATAAATGCTTACGAAACGTATTAAATCACCCATAACCATACGATAGATCATAACGACAAAAGGTCCGACGGTCTTAAAACCTCTGATCAAGGAAAAAATTGTTAATAAATTGCTTTTGAGATGATATTCGAGTTATTTTATTAGCTACCTGCAAAAAAAGAGAAAGTATGGAGCTGTGGTCAACATTATAAGGACAGCTACATGATCATCCAGCTCTGTGAGACACGATAAACGTAACCAGGGTATGGCCATCATTAAACAGCAGGAAAATAGAAACATAACGCGAGAAGGAGCAGTCATCTACCATTAAGAGCAAAACCACATTAATAAAATCTAGCTGCGATGCAACAAAGATTGATTAACTGAAAATATGTACCAAGTTTTCTACAAACATTTTATAGCCCAAAAAGCGGGCCTCTCTCAAAGCGGCCAATAGGTATAAAATTGCACCAAAAAATATAACAATTTCTGCTATAATCCGAACCTACATTAAAATATTGTAAAATGAAAAAGAATAGCAAATAAATCTCTATTAAGTCTATGCATAAGTCCGCATTAAATATTTATAATAATAAACTTAATATATATGAAATGATTTTAATTAAGTAAATATGACTGCATTGACGGAAAAGAAAGCGTTTGAATAGGTTTTAAAGACGTCAAAGGAATAGAAAATTCTTTTTTTTATAGTCGAGACACTAGTCCTAAAATGTATGAAAGGTCACCATTAGGGTCATGAACACCCCATTAGGACAGATGTCTCTACGTCCACGGTGCCCGATGGCACACGGAGTGTGAAAACGTACACTCAACGCATCGAGGAAAAACCTCGAGTTCCAGTGGAGATACCTATATGGGCGTATCTCCCTTCGAGCCGAGGCTCTTCTCGCGATTTGGGCCCACCACAGTCACCACGAAACTCCCGCAATGGGCCGTTTCCGCTGACAGGTCGAATCTAGAAGATTGCTTCGGGGGATATAAGAAGAGAATAAAAATAATGAAAGAAGAATAAGAAAGCCTCCGGTCAGACTTAGCATTAGGTCCCATACGACCTAAAAACGCGGTTATGGGATAGAATCTGCAGAGGAAGCTGCAATAATAGGGAACCAGTCAATACAATGCGCATGGGCATTGCATTCTCACTGGGCGGAGGAGGCCTATTCCAACCGCTTTCGTTTAGTAAGGGAAACGATACCCTACGAGAATGGGTGAGCAAAGCTCAAACTGAGTCCAAACAACCACAGCAATGCAAGGAAACGTGGAAACGGATTTCCATCACAATGCCTTACCAGATAGGGGAGTAGCCTCTTGCAAGACTTATAGAGCCCCATGCGGCTCAGCCCCCAGCCCGTCAATGAAGTTAAATAAATTATGGATAAACCCGCCAAAGCAGAGCTTAGACAGAGTTACCCAAACCTCGTCGAATAAGCCGGCGTTTGAGGAAAACACCAGATGCAAATGCGCTCAATGCAGCTGTCGTCGCAGGAGTAGAGAGAGCCTGGCTTCTCCATTATGACAATACTGGATAATGTAACGTATTCTAATATTGTCGCTGTAGAACAATACGTTCATAACATAAGCCACCACTGAAGTCATTTTTACGGTCATTAAATATCTGTGGCGGGGTTGAGGAGAACAATTGATTGATCGACATGGCAGATCAATATCTCTGCAATGAAATTTTACCAGTCATCTAAGTTTGCGAAGGTTTTGTAGGTCTTCGAAAGTGAAAATCGAGAATGAGATTTTGTTTATTACCATATTTAGAATATAGCTACGCCTCGTATATGCCTTCTTAAATTACCGACAACAATCTTAGTTTTCGTTTAATGTGCGACAATGCACATATTTCGCGCAAGTGCGAGAGGGAGTGCAATTACGAACAAATTTGACGAAACCGGCAAACCAAAGCATTATGCATAGACATAATATAATGCTCATGATACATACTATACTATATAGTTTATATATATTTCACCTTGGCTAGATCGTTATCCATATTCATTAGAGGACATTTCGCATAACTTTCCCACCAGGTGGGTAAATCATCGAGTATAACCTCGTTGTTGCTGTGCTCGCTGAAATTCAACCAGAAGGTTTCTGTAATAAAAATAATTTCGTTTTTTTTCCATAATCTACTAATACGCGGCTTACTGTATGCCAGAGTTTTGCTTTGAATTCCGCCAACTCTAGAGTTTGCATAGTATGTTACATTTGGGTTCGATTTATCATTCGAATCTTCAGTTTCTTCCTCTTTGTCTGGCGGGCCGGGTCGTAAAATGAAGCTTACCAATGAGAATAGAAAATAAAATGAGAACATATAGAATTGTTTGTAAAAGCGCGATTTGACGAATGTATCCCATTTCGTTTTCAATAAATCAATGACTACACCATCCAAGAGCTCCAAATGTTCTAATTTATCCTTAAGAAAATTTTAATTATTTGTCAAATTGTTTTCGTTCGAATGCGTAGATTTGGACTTAACTCACCCCAAATACAACAAAATTTAAAGCGGAATCTTTATTAATATTACCGGTCTTTTCGTCTATGGTATCGATTTTCGATAAAGGATATGCGGCACAGGTTATACTGCCTAATTGCCAATAGATTTCTCTTTCGATACTCATTACATGGAAAAACATTTCCACACGTCCCAATTTGGCCGCCAGAGTTAAGGGAGTAAGATTTTGTACATTTCTAATATGTATATTCGAGCCTACCTCGTAGGCCACATCGAACATATCCATCTTTTCATAAATAACTAGCATATGCAGTACGGTGTTGCCATTCGTATCTTGAAGATCGGGATCGGCACCACGAGCCAGTACTAAACGAAAGCATTCTTCCTGCGAAAGGCAAGCAGCAAAACTTAATGGATATTCGCCCCAATAGACGTAGCCATCATAATTTGTCATTGGATTAACACCGACATACTCATGGTCCGGCGAGTCATAGCGTGACGCCTTTTGATCTTCCGGCGACATAAATGCGCCACAACATCTAAATAATATTTTTTAGTATTTTGCTTATTAAAAAAAACCCTTTTTCTCTTTTCAAAAGCCAACCGTTCTTCCACATAAGCATTCGCATCTAGCAGGTATTTAACCATGGCAGGATCCTCATTAACTATGGCTATATGCAAAACGCTTTCACCATAATATTCATCGCTTAGATATATATCCATAATCAGTTTTGGATAAAATTTTAGTAAACGCTTTGCTAAATCAGCGTGCAAGGAAGAGGCATTCAATAGACATAAATGCAATATCGTTTCACCTACGGCACCACGTTCCTAAAATTCCTTTCTCCTTTCATCATAAAACTCATTATCATTATAGCACTACTAACGACTTACATTCAAATTCCAACACACAAAACGATAAGCACTGGGATTCGATATATATTCCGCTTCTGATACCTCCGTACAATAATCATGTATGTTAAAGTCATCGTCCGGATTTTCTAAAGCTCTTATCTCTGGCAGTTGTTTGGTACGGGTACGATCTTTATTGCGTAAGAGTACCATTTTCGAGATAGGGAAATATCTTCCCGCACCTTTATTGTAAAGAAATGGCTCCACTTTCGTTTTGATCGCATGATCAATTTCGGCAAATTGCTTAGTTTGACAAGCCCTCTTCATCATATCGACCAACAAACCGCCACCCTTGAGATTTACAAATTTATATAAAGCTTGTGTTGAGACTCCTGCTTGTTTTTTAACACCGCTTGTTACATTGCTTTCAGTATTTCCCATAATTATATTCTCAACGATTTAACCAAAAAAAAAAAAAAATTAAAATATTTATTATGCTTTCGCGTTTGCTTATTTTTGTTATAACATTTTACTCATATTAAATGTTTATATGTATTCGCATTATTTTAATTGTTTCTTTTCGAGTTCTACGAATTTCCGTTTAATTCTTATTGTGATTTTTTTAAATTAAAAAAGCATATCGATTAAACATTTTCATGTTCATAAGTTAGCGCAATCTCGTTGTCTTAGATATATTCATGTTTCTTTATCAATAAAAAAAAAATTGTTTTTTTTTTTTTTTTTTTTTTTTAATATTGGCATCACTCTATTTTTAATATTAATTCATTTAATTAATATGATTAATTAATTAATTAATTAGCTAATTGATTATTAATAATCATATATCATAAATAATGAAAGCAAACTTGCATCTACACCTCACGTTGATTTAATTCCCGATAATTGGGAAATATCATTACGTATAATGCAATCTGCATACTCATCGGATCTGTAAATCCTCGTCTCAATTAAGTAATATAAAAAAAAAAATAAAAAACAATAAAAAAAAAATGATTCGTTCATATCTCACGTGTCAAGATTTTTTTTTTTTTTTTTTGGCATTTACTTGAATGTTTTATTTGAACAAGAAAGGTGTCCTTCTATGCGACTTACTGCATACACATATGAAAATTTGTAATAAACGTAGCTTTTCAAGAAGATATTTGCCCGCCAAGTAAAGCGTAGCCTACAAAAGCTGCTGCTATAACTAAAAATAAAATAATAATAACACCTATTAAGCAAATCGAGGTAAACATATAGGAAGCATAATAAATTCCTTGTCCAATACGTAAATAAATACGAGTAAAATCATGTTCAGACCTAATAAACGGGCCAGGCTGCCTATACAATTTCGCCTAGTGCAATTATTCACTCATTTTGGTAATCATGCAACAAAAATGACACAGGCCTGCTCTCATGAAAAGCCCGCATATTGGACGATGCCCAAAAGATCATATGACGTCATCCAAATTTATCAAACTTAATTTACTTGCTAACAGCTTTACTATTTTTCACTTTTCGTCAAAAAAAAAAACTTGGACAAATTGAACCTAATGTCCCTGGAACGGCTCGCTTTTCAAGATAACCTCTGACCTAGAACTATAAAATTCAAATTTCCTACCATTACTTATTTCTATATATATATAGCATATTAAAAATTAAACCTTTTCCTAAAGGGGTTACTCTTCATCACGAATCTTACGTCGAGTGGGGTCCAGAAAATAGATCCATGTGATTCAATTTTGATCCATTCAATTTTAATGTAAAACCATTATCATGGACATGGGTTTTTTTTTTTTACATAAGCAGGTTTACATTTCAAAAGAAAGTGCATATGCGGTGGCATCCAAAAAATCGACCTATGTGATCCAAACTCGGTAAGATTGATTTATTTGCTCTTAATGTTATGAACGAATTTTCCCTATGAATATATTGAATGTTAGATCTTTTTATTAAAGTAAAGGTGCTTTTTTCGTGGGAACGGCCATATGAGAGGGAGTTCAAAAAATGTTCACACTCGAACCAAATTTTTCATGTCATTTCAGAATGCGAAAGTGCTATTACTCAGCAAGACATTTTTAACAGTGTCCGTCCCTGGGTCCAAACACGTGAGTGTACCAAATTTCATCAAAATATTGCAGAACATCCGATCTATATCGAATTTTCGAATTTTATATTGAGGACTAATTTAAATATTAAGTTGCAGATCTACATGCCTTTTCGTTAACTTTGGATGGAGTCATGTACCGATTTTTCAACAGGGCTTTGATTTCGTAATCATTACTTCAGCAAAGGCATCAAGGTAAATCAATTCGCTCAAAAATACTAAAGATCATATATAAATGTAGGTAAGAATAATTTCAGTTCGTGCATTAGTAAGTATTCGCTCATAAGAAAACTGGGGGGAATGGACTATGCATGTCGTACGCTATTTGATGTTGATGAAGCCTAGATAAATAGATTTTGAATCATTTCCAATAAAATTTAAATGAACTTAACAAGTAAAATTGGAATTTTGTTGTCTCTACCTTGACTCGTCATTGCTTTTGTTTTGTCTTGACGTCCGTTCATGCATTGAATTTTCTTTTTTAAGAACTTCCTTTACTTCAAATCATAATCATACTTATGTGTGCGAGTAACTTAATTCCCGGCTGATTCTAATAACCTGAAACTATTACAGCATAAGCCTTGTTAATTATTTAACTGTTAACTATGATCCGCTAAGCTAATCTGTAAATGTTTTAGGTATTTTAAAATAAATTTCATTGTACAATCATTGCATTCATTTCTCGTTTATGTACATTATATGCCCTTTGGTATAATTGAGCACAATACGAGAAATTTATTTTCGTTAAGCACACACAGTCAAACGATCGTAAAAGATGCGGAATTGTCATATGTAATAAACCTCATTGGTTTTACTCATTCCGTTAGTAAGCAAATTTTTAAATCGAACAAATGTCAAATGGATTGGTATGTCTATCGGTTATATAGCAAATTTTTGAGGCCGTAGCAGAACACAAGCGGCAATATTGCAGGTAATTCTAAAATATGTAAAATTTATCGTTTAGATGAAGGTATTGGCTTTGGTATAAAAAGTACTTACACTTTTTACTTTTTCCACTCACAAAAGGTATACATGCATATACAAGACCACGCGCTTGAGATTGGAGAAACATTAGTGCAAACATTACTGAACAGTGTATATAGCGAAACCGACCTAACGCTGGCGATATATACTTGGGAAAAATTTAAGTTTGAGCTTCTTATTCTTCTCTTTTTTTTGCTCATTTCCTCCATAATTCCTTTGAGATTCCGAAAACCTACTATATATATATATATATATATATATATATTTTCTTAAATTGCTAAGACAACAATGGAAGGACAGGGGATCATCTTGATCATTTTTTTTATGAAGTCGCCACAAAATGAAAAAATGAAGATAAGAAGTTGAAGTTTGGCACAAACATTTCTGGATCGATTACAAATCCACAGATGAAAAATCGTTGTGACCTATCGACACGTACGTCCATAATGCAAGAGAAACTGAAACAATCTCGAAAAAACATTGGCAATTTTTTCACATTTTTGTCTATAAATTGTGACCCAACGACGATAGTTCCAAAAATTTGTGATCCCCATCTTCTCTAGAATCATTGTTACGTTCAGTCTAAAAATGATTCCAATTGGTTTACTAACTTGTTCAAAATTAACGATAAAATCGCGGACATTAGCATATTCTTCACCAAATTAGAAACTAATTGGAATTAAGACGTTAACGTTAAATGTGGTTGTTTCAGTAATGCGATAGGGACCACGTGAACTTGACGAACATTTAGATATCTTTACAGCATCGAAAGTTATAAACAAAAATATATGAAAAAGTTGTCATTTATTTTCGAGCTTTTCTTAGTTTCTCATATATGGTGTGTCAGCGGATCGCAACCAAATTTTTATCAAGTAATGCTTGTGCCACATATCAACTTTCCACGTTTATTTGCATGCCTATCGTAAGTCGACAAAAATAGAGGATCGAAATGATCCCTTGACCAGCTAGAAAAAAACTGATTGTAGAAATTTCCAGTCTTTTCGTATAAGTAAAAGTCACTGCAAAACTTTGAAACATTACCTGCGGTATAACAATTTTTTTGAAGATTAAAAAAGGGTCAATATGACGTACAAAGAGAATGGAATAAAACAGACGTACCTATTAGCTGCATATAATCCTAGCGGATGGTGGCGCTTCGCACTTATAAGTAACGATCAACGCTTGCTATTATTTACCTGCTTTTAAATGATACTACGGGATATTAACGTTGAAGGCGATAAAGAGAGAGATCGATACATAGAGAGATAGATAAATAGATAGAGAGAGACAAAGAGAGCGACAGAGAGAGAGAGAGAGAGAGAATGAATGGTAATACTTAGTAGATAATATTTGAGCCAAGACTTACAGCTATTTAATAGGACTAATGTTATTTTATTATAATTAAAAACTGAGTTTTGCTGTTGACATTTCGACGCTCATATCCAACAAAAGATTCTTCAATTGTCTCCCCAATATTTTGGTAAAAGTTCACAAACAAAATTTGGAATGATTCGTCGAGAAGTTTGCACAAGTTCTCCTAAGAGTGGAAACTTGAAATAAATATTAATTGATGTGAAGCAACACTTTTTGAATGAAGCAAAACAAAAGATATTCATTTCATTCATTTATTCATTCGTGCTTTCAGTTTGTGATAATGATGGTGAGGACAACATTTCGAATCGTTATTAGTTTATGGCGATTGTTAAAAATATTCGCTGAATATTAATTTTCTACGAAATTTGAAGTCAAATATGCGATCTAAGATGAGTGATATGGGCCCCCTACTTATTATTTATTAGTTTGGGGTGATGGATATCGCAAACGAACGCCTCAGCATAAATATGATTTGTTTTATTCGCCTTCAGTTCATTTAGTATATCTTCCGAATACAATGTCAAAGATTATAACGAAACCATAATTGAATTAAACATTTATTGATCTCAATATATTGATGAATATATTTCTTTTTATAATAAATATTTTTTATTATTCCGATATATAATTATTAATGCTTTGCTCTACTTAACGTTGCATTTAAATATCAATAAGTGCGTAAATAGTTCGTTTTGGACTTGTTTTTACTTTTAAATATATTTTTTTATTAATTGATAAATTATGGTTTACTTAAATATTAAAATAAAAAGTTGAGGAAATAAAAGATAAGATAATGAAAATCGTGAAATCACTAAAAGAAAATAAATAAATATATATATATATATATTTATATATATATATATATATATATATATAAATATATATATATATATTGATAGATAGATAGTTAAATGAAACAGCATTAAATTTTGCACAGAAATTCATTTTAGAAAATTTTGAAAAATTTATTTAAATTCTTAATAATTTTTTTTTTTTTTTAAATTAAAGTTAAAAAACACTTACGAGCCATAATTTTAAACATATTACATAGTAAGCTTAATTTTAATGCAATTTTTTTTTATTTTTTTTAAATTTTATTTTCAGCTAATTTTTGATTCTAATTAATTAACTATGAATTCAACAACAGATGACAACGATGATCATTGTTATGTGATTTTTAGGCACTTTTCATTCTTTAAGTTTGCGATGGCGTTGCGATTTTTGGGCTAAAAAAAAATTTGTCGAAAATATACTTTACTTTTGCTCTTCTTCTTCTTAACTGCGTTACATGTATTTTTTTTTTTTGTTTTTTTTTTTTGTTTTTTGACTCTTTCTACAAATAAAGAGAAATTTGTTTGTTTTTTTTTTTTTTAAATTTTACCATAAAATAATTTCAAAATTATTAGTTATAAAAAAAAAAAAAAAAACTTGAAAAGACAAGAAACGAGAGTTATCTGTCTCCGGGCCAGCACTACAGTGTTTAATCGTTCATTCTTCGTTCGTTCTTCATGCTTAAGCTGCAAGCAAAAAAACCGTATAGCGAACAATCTCTTAATAGTATAATAATAAGTTATTATGTGTAATGTTTTTATGATCTTTACTTAACCTATATAAGTTCATTTTTTTGTTTTTGAAACTGTAGTGCTGCGATAGAGGGTTTTCTGCAAACTTTTACAAACTTGGCTTCGCCTAAATCATCATTTCGTTTCGGTGGTATCGTCACATTTCGCTTCAGTTGCGATAGGACTAGTTTCCTTTTGTGACTTAGATTCCTCGGCCGCTTTGCCAGGTTTTTCATTTTCCACTTCTTTTATTACCTTAGCAGGTGGTAACTGCTGACTTTCATTTTCAATATTGATCATACCTTCTGGTGGGGGCAGTGGGATCGGTTCTTGAATCTTGGTGGCATCGGCCGGTTTCTGTTCGTTTGCAGAATCTTTAGTTGCCTCATTTGTTGAAGAGATTTTTTCTTTGGTTATTTCCTCACCTGATGCACTTTTCTGAGGTTGTGGGGCTGCATTAAAATCATTGACATTTGTAGCGCTAATGCTCTTTTTTGATTGACTGCGCTTAACATTTTCTTCGGCTTTGGCTTCCAAGACATTAATAGAGGCTTGTATGCACTTTATGGCTTCTTTGCGTGCCAAACGTATGCTATCCTTGCCATTCGTATCGATATTATCCAATTTCAAAAGATTACGTGTTAACATTTCATCGAGATACACATACTCTTTATCTCCGCGCGTTCCGGTAAACTTTTCAACATGCGACATTAATTCGAGGACATCGCGTTGTATATCTTGGATTTTATTTATCGAATCCATAGTATGTGGTGTTTGAGGTGGTATGTCTTGTGCTTGTTGCGATTGTTGTTGCTGCTGTTGTTGTTGTTGATGAGTATTTAAAGGTGTAGGACGATGCGATTGCTGATGGAAGGACGTGTGCTGTTTGGGTGGCGTAAATGACCTACAAGGCGTTGAGGTTGAAGATGCTGAATTCTGATTTGGTATTTCTTTGTTGTTAATGATAGGCTCGGAGCGCCCTTCAACGAAAATAGGTATGGTGCGTATAAAGGTACCACCGGGTGTTTGTGGCGGTGGTGGGGTTTGTTGTTTATGATAATGTTGTTGCTGTTGTTGCGGTTGTCGTTGAGGTGTGTGGTACGATTTTTGATATTGTGACTGCATCTGGGGACTAGTCTGAGAGCTTGTATATTGAGAATGTTGCGATGAAAGTGGAGGCGATGAACCCGAATGTTTATCATTAATTGGTATTTGTTGTTCATTGGGTGGGGCCGAATGTGAACGTGTTCCATGCATTTCTCTTTCTGATTTCACGCCCATATCCACAGTATTGCGCAAACCCTGCTGACTAAGATTTTCTGTGGGAACAGCATGATCAACTTCCGAGCGACCTGCGGGATCTTCCGTTTGTATAGCAGCGTCACAAACCTTTTTTGTCGGTGACTGAGGCATGCCGGTATAATATTGAGTTTGCGCTGGTGGCGGTCCCATAGGGCCCCCAGGAGTACCAGAATGTGTGGCCTGCGGATGCATGCCGGCATTTGGCGCATGCCTATGACCAAAACTCTGGGGCATGTATTCACGAAATTCAGCAGGCATACGATGAAAGAAGTCATCATCTTGTTCGGTATTGGCACGTCGACGACCAAGCGAATTGAACTGCGGAAAAGCAAAATCTGCAGCGTCATCAAAATAACGAGAAAAACCATCAGTACGAAAATGCGGATCATGTAAACTAATACGCTTACGTGAACCTCCGAAGCCCGTAAAAGGATCATGTATACGTCCTAGACGCGAGCGTGGAAACATATCCATATCTATATCCATATCAGGTTCAAAGCCAAAGTCCTGCTGTAATGGAAAAACAAATAAACGAAATATATTAATCCCAATCGCTTAGCTTTCATATAAAAAATTGAAAAAATATTTTATAAAATATTTCACAAAATTGTAGATTAGTAGACAGACATCTATCTATCTATCTATGCCTTATCAAAACAGTGTTTATGTTACTTTTTTGCTTAATAATTGCGGTGCTCTTTTTTTTTTTTTTTTGTATTATTTTTGACTACAGTAACAAATTTTTTGCAAGGTAATGATATATTATTTGTAATAAATATGTATGTAACGTCTGTGTTGCAATTTTCACGAGAAACAATTCACGAAACTAAGAAAAACAACACATGAATATTTTTAGCTATGATTCATTTCGATTTTTTTCTTCTGTTTCTTGTTTTGGTTTTAGTGTTTTCACAAAAAAAAAACAAAAAAAACAAAAAAACAAAAAACCAACACTCGAATTTAATCACAAGCAGGTAAACATAGCTATCATCTTACGTACATGCGATTGAATGTAGAAGGTGTGCGCTTTAAAATCGGGATACAGTAAATTTCTTCACAGAGATTAAAACAACGCGCGTTTGTCTTGAATATCTTTCCCTGCAGAGAATAATAAGCATAAGAAGATGATATCTTTTCGTTAGTACGAAATTCTGAGTCTATAGTTTAGCAATATAGCTTTGTTCGCTCGATCGTCGCCAAAAATTTTATTGGCAAATAAGCGTGATGGGCCTTCGAACACTCTGACGGCATGGTTGAAACAAATAAAAAACTCTATAGTGTACCACAGCCTCTCATTCAATACACCACACCACCATTCTACAGTTGCTAATATAATCACTTTTCAAAATAAGACGTCATATGGAAGGTGATCGATAAAGATCTCCGATCCCATGTATATTCTATAGCGTTCAATTATCATATGACATCGAAACTATTTTAAAACATTGCCGCCTATAGGTTAAACATAAAAACACAAAACGGACAGACGGAGCGACAGATTTAGGAACGCTTTCTAAATCGATCGGTGTAATAAAAAGTGAGTTTATCTCAAATCTTTCCGTGTATTGATTGCATATACCTGCACAATTTTGTACCATGGTTGGTGTAGGGTACAGAAAAGAATAATCATAGGCTACTAGCGAATTCCAGCATAAGGCAAATGTTTGATATTGACCCAATTATCTATTACTTTATGAAAATTCTTAAATAAATTAGACGCGCCAATAAATAAAGCGCCGATCCCGTAAGCAAAATTTTAGTGATTTTTATATATTCGTTTACAAAGAATAATGTCGAAAAAATCAAGTCAGTGCTTGTTCGGCATAGTAAAATCGTTAGATGAGTAATATATTTTTTAAGCGAAAACACTGGCACACTTTCCGTTAAATTGGAAATGCTTCCCTTTTCTTTTTTTTTTTTTTTTTTGGTATATATGTTGTTGTAGGGATACGCAGGATTCACTTCAAAGCTGCACTACATTTTTCATTTGTTTCGCACGTTTCTCAAAGTCGAAATTTTTAATTAATATATTTTTGTAACTCTCTTTGTAAATAGATAAGCCAGCATGCCCAAGTCTTGCGAGTATACTGCGTAAATGTTCATGCTTTCTTAGTTAATGAGATGAGTTAATGATGAGGCGATGCAAACATAATGACAAAGTTAACATACTTTGATCCTTCGCTGACCATAACTTACTAGGTGGGTAGATGTTTTTTATATAAACAACAAATAAATACTTTCCTCCCTCTCTCTGTCTATCCGTCCGTCACTATATCTCACATATATATGTACATTCATAACTTCATTTACATGTTTTGCAATGTACACCCATTTACGGAAAAGTACCCACACTCGTACACACACACATAAATAAGCGCGCGCGCGCGCACACATACACACGTAGATACATACTTGAGCAAGCAGTCGGAAATGGTATTGAAGTCATAGAGAATACAAAAAAAAAAAAAATAATATTTGATTGTAGGGCGAATCTGCAGCTGTAAAATTTTCAGAGAAGTAAAGACTTCGCTTACATAACATTTCTAGATAATTCTGCCATTACCATTTGTTGTACAAGCTTCATATTGGGAATCAGGTTTTTCATGACCAACACTAGCACTTATCTCTACTACCTCTAGCGTAATAATCGACTTAATTATCATGTCTATTTTTACCTTATCATAAGCTCGCTGTTTCTTTTCGCTGATATACACATATGCACACACATGTATATTCTTATTCTTATTCTTAAGTTTGTGTAAATGTAATTGGCCATTGCCACTTTCAATATCATTTATCTGATACTTTAAAAAATATTCGAAAAACTAACATAGTACACATTAATAGAGGAATTACTCAGATTTCTTAGGCAATTCTACTTATTCAATACGTTTATCGGAGCGATTTAGGTAAAATGAAAACCTGATTTGGTTAGGTAGATCAGTTCATTCAAAATTTTTTGGTTGCTTTCGATGCTTTTTAGCAAACTATGCTGACTTAAGAGGTTTATGAAACTTACCCAAAAGCAAATTTATGCAACTTAAGGTTTTTATCGGCATGACTGAAATGATTAAATCGATTCATCTGAATTTACTATAGCATTGCACTCTTATTCTCCAGTGCGATATATAAATATGATTGCTACACATGCTTAGGTTATAAATTTTCTAAGCAACATCGTCAGGTTTTTTGTTTTTGGAAAGGATCAAAACTTGAGAAACTTTCATACAAAAAAGACTACTCTTGGACCGTAATGCCTATGAAATGTCTGAGATTAAGTTAATGTTACAAAGAGTATATAGCATCTAATTCAAATTGTTTAGACAAATGCACATTTTTTTATAGCCTACACTGCTTTGCGATGCAGACTTATATTAAGCTTGTGCGAAGGTATGTAGCACCCAGAAGGGCTTAAGATTGATTTTTTTTTTTTTTTTTTTTTTTTTTTTTATTAAGCTAAGCTTGTTTATACGTCTGATGTTGGTCCATGTATTTTTGGATTACATCTATATGTCGCAATTTATGATATATTTTGGTGAAATTTGCTACATTGACGTGCTTTGATCTCAGGACGAAGGCTATTGTAAACTGTTCGGATCGGGCAACATTTTTTAATCACTGACCGTATAATACTTTACTTGAAAAGTCAATACATGAATTAGTCGAGGATAGTGTAGGGTATTTAGTGGTGTGCCGTGTCCTACTATATAGTTTAGATTTTTTTTTTTTTTTTTTTTGTTTTAATTTTTAAAAAAATTTTTTTATTTCTATGATTTTTGCATTCAATTGCATTAATGCCATGTAAGAAATCTGTGTTCGTTTGAAGGCGAATCATATTACACATTGAACGCATTAAAAGCGACATAGCTTACTGGAAGCATTGATATTGTCAGTTGGCCGATACCGTATACAGAAAATTTATATAGCTTTGGCAGATATTTTTTTTGAAAATCGCAGTTTCTTACAGCTTGTGAAATTTTTTTATTATCTCTTAGATGATCTCTGTTTTCTCGTCTAGAATTTATTATTACAGTATAATTATAGCATATTTGGTAAATAGTAGTAGTAGTCTGCTATGGTAGCAGAAAGAACTCAAAATTTGAGTAAAAAATCACTTAGGCTCTCTCTCTCTTAGTACTCTTAGGCGGTAAATCTTCTGCTATGAATGACAAGAAAATTGAATTTTACTACGATAATAGCAGAAATTGAATTGCTGGTAACTGGTAACAGGTTCGGGCAATGTTTGAATGAAATTCTGTCTGCAAAATTGTGATCGAATTAAAAAAATATTGAACAATAATTACTTAGTAAATTTAAGAAACTATTTCTCATGTGTGTATTATTTAATTATTTTTAGTGTGCTCGTATGGTGTACTCTACAATTGTTGAATGCAATATATATTATATATACAGATATATATCTTCGCTTCGAAGACCCTTTTTTTCTCTTCTTCTTCATCTTTTTTTTTTTTTGTTTTTTTTTATTATCCCTTTTCTTATATTTTAGTTTATATTTGTTTGGTCAGTCCACGTGCCATGCATGTCCGGATCTTTTCTACATCATTTGTGTATATATTTGACATACGTTTTTTTATAGTAACTTTCGGCATAAAATTCTAGTTTTTTGTGTGCGCTACGAAAGCAGACCTTCTCTCCAGAATTACACCCTTATTGTATTTTAAAATAATCCAAAAAGTAGAAAAATTGATTTACAACATTCAGCAATTAATTTAAGCCGATGATATGCATTTGCCTTTAGAAATTTCAATTTCCGGGTATGGATGGATACACAAAATCTATAAAGCCAATTTAAAATTCTATGCCGATCAGAATTTAGATTAGATCAGCTTTTGTATAAGCATTCATAAATTTTACAAACAGAGTGAACACATCCTCACATGCTCTCGATCTTTAATTATTATAATACAAAATAATGATACAATTAATGATAATATGAATTGAATTATATAGCATAGTCTAGTGTAACAAGATCGGTCCGATTTCCACCTGAAAAATCCAGGTTCGACTTCTGATGCGGTAGACCTGCTTTGGTAAGCTTCACTTTTAATGAATAATTATGAATAATTAAAAGAAAAGAGATACAATTTCTCCAGAACAGCTCGAGTATTACTCGAGTATTAGGCTAGCAGAACTTTCAAGAAGACGCGATGCACGCTAATAATAAACTACACTCAGTAGTTAATAAATAAATTTACGCTAAAATGTCAAAGGCGATGTACCAATGCATGCTTTACAAATGTAAGCTAAAGACGGTGTGGGTTCATTTCCACCCACCTCCACTAAGAAGACGAAGCAGAAGGAATGGATTTTATTATTAATTTTTGAATTTTAATTTCCAATAACAATAATAATAATAATAATTTTTTTCGCTCTTATTTAGATCGCGGAGCCAACGCACTCTTTTAAATAATTATTAATAATGGAAGAAATAGATTGACTTGTAGAAACTACATGGGGACAAAGTAGATTGACTTTTCGTCTCAGTATTC